AATAATAATAATAATAATAATAATAATAATAATAATAATAATAATAATAATAATAATAATAATAATAATAATAATACCTCCGTCGCGAGTATTATGGATATATGGGAAGACCCAGAACAACAGATGGCGGCGAATACAGTTTTAGGTGTGTATTCTTTTATATATTTAACTTGAGCGAATATTAAAATATTAATTATAAAATGACATTTAAACAAGCTCAAGTACGCAATACGTATGCAATCAACATACTTCGACGAGTCAAATCAAAACTAGAAGGAAAAGATTTTGATCATGTCACAAAAATGAGCGTCGAAGAACAGGTTTGTAACAAAGACATTTATTCATTAAAAAAAAGGATGAACCTTACTAATTTTTTATTGTTTTCTATTAGGTGGATAAGATCATTAAACAAGCCACTGATATAGATAATTTGTGTGTCATGTACGAGGGATGGACACCATGGATATAATATATTTTCTTTGGATTGTCAACTTAAAATACATGTGTATAAAAATTGTAATGAGCCATAAAAGAATAGAGGTGATTATTGTACGAATAAAAATTATTTTAAAAAATGACAATCTTGTATTTATTCAAGCATATTATTTACTGGTGCCACAAGATTATGAAATTTGAAATCTCGACAAGGGAAACATGTGGAAATAAGTTTTAAACTTCAAATACTTGTAGTTATCATTAATGAGATGATCTTTTCATATTTTAACGAAACCATTTGGTATCTCCGACGTGAAGCATCGTCCAACAGTTGAAAGAAATCAGCTGAAGACCAGTTGTCAATCTGATAAGCCTTAAAAATTGCGTATGTATTCTAAAATTAAACTACACAACCAAATAAAACTCGACTACCCCCATGCAAAACTTTGTTTTTAATACAATTTTCCAATATTGTTTGCAAAAAGATTAAAGAAACAATTATTGCGGGAGTTGAAAAGCAGTAAGATTTCTAAAAATAGTATATAATAAGTATAATAAGTAATAGTATTATTATAGTAATTTCTGTAAGAATTAGCTAGCCACAGCAGTGTTTATTATTTTATTTTCGAAATATTTACAAAGGGGATGTATGCAAGTATGATGAAGTGGAGAATATTATACAGGTAGATACATGTGTAGTGTGTGTGTAGTGAATATATGTAATTTATAAAAAAATTCTTGAGACAAGTTATGGGGCTTTATATGGGATAACGTAAGCAAAATAGTAAAAGTTAAATAGTATTATCAGTGATTCATTGTGGATGCATAGAAAATAGTTAATATTGGACAGAAAAAACTCTGAACTAACTATAAATCATTTCATTGCTTTTTATTTTTGAAAAAAATAAAGATATTTACACCTACATGTTTTCATTAACCGGCCTTATTAAAAGGTGTTGTTGAGGCTAGCAGTTAGTTATTAATTTAGGGTTCCTCTACAGGTAGCAGCACCGCATAAGCAAGGTATCTTTTCATCTTCTAATGGGAACTTTTTGTTGATAATAATAGAAATAATGAGGTAATTTTGACGAAAAAAGATTAAAAAACCATTTTTTTTGCAGCATTACATAATAAAGCATATGAAGATAGATATATATATATATATCTGTATGTAAACTATGTATATTGTTGTATACATTCGTCTACCTTATAGTCATATGTAATTTCCTCGCCCGCTTGAATATCCCGTTTTGCGTATATTACAATTTTCTTCTTTCCATCGTGTGTTATTATTTTGGCAGTACAATTAGGCTTATAATGAGAGAGATATTAGTAAATTCTCCTTTAACAAACTACGCAACTCGACTTGTCACAATATTTGAAAAAAAAATAAAGCAAATCGATGAGTAATACACACCGAACAAGAATGATTTATGAATCTTGCAATATTTCCTTTCTTCGTAGCATCAATAACAGTATCATCATCAATACGAAACATATAACTACCGCGCACACCGTCCCTCGCATACCTCCGTTCCCGATGATCAGCGACAGACTGCCTAATGACTTCACCAATGTATTCGATAACCATGTCATTAGCATCGATCCGTTCTTTGGTAAAGAGACCCATTGAATGAATACTAGATTTAGCGAATTTGAGTTGCTTAGTTCGGCCTTTCATTTGGTTGAAGCGCATCACGTCGTCAACATCGCCTTTGGCGGTTTCACGATTGTACTGTTGCATGTTTGCGAGGATACCGCGGTTTTTCATACGGTTTTCACGTGAGGTGACGGTTGGCGGTGATATGAGGGGGAGTGAGGGTGAAGAGGAAGAAGAGTTGGTGACCATCGGTTTTTTGGTGTTATTGATCATGTTTCGTAATTTTTGGTCTTCGGAGATCCTTTTGTAACCTTCGGTTCGTGCACAGCCTGTTGGATTTTGACCCGGAAGCTTGCTGGCAGCAATTTCTTGTTTGCGTTTTTTGTAATAGCGATCTAGTAACATTTATTTATTAATACATACAATAAGCATGCACGAAAATGAAATGAGCATATATTTAAATAGCGCAACTCAATTATTCAAAGATAATAATAATAATAATAATAATAATAATAAATATAATTATTAATATTATCATTTTTTTGAATTATTAATTATTATCGATATTATTATTGTAAGTCGATCATAACTATTTATCGACAATAATAATAACAATAATAATAATAATAATAATAACAAATTTTAGTCTTTTATTTATAAAAACTATCATAACACATCTTATTCATTTACTTGCTATTTTATAATAAATTTTAAGAATCATTGACAATTCGCTTTTTCAAAATTTCAATCCATACCGATGGCATCATAATTGATCTCTCCCATAGAATCATTGGTATATATGGCAGGATCTTGTTCAAATTCCTTGACAACTATTTCTAAGAATGTAAAATCCTCTTCGTCAAAGACTTCACCAGGCGATGAAGGTTCTTCAGCTTCTTCTTCATCGAAATCAGATTCCTCAACCGATTCGTATGGATCTATGCTCATTGGAACTGCGGCTTCTAATGTATCTGTAAATTCAATGTCGGCTTCATTATCAGAAGCATAACCGATTGCAACAGTATCGTCATCTTCATTGTCACTACTTGCTGAGTTAGCTTTATCATCATCCTGACGCTCAGAATTGATTTCTTCTCTATCCTCAAGATCACTTTCTGAGCTATTCTTTTCACTCTCATCAGTAATATCGGTAAGCACTAAAGTTGGCTCATTATTCTCTTCTGATTTAATGGGAGGAATTATTGATATATTGTCCAGATGTATTAAAGATTTTCTTCTAGAATTATTACCACTACCAGTATATGTAATAACTAATGTTTTTGGTTTTGTTTCTGAAACTTGTTTCTGCGGTTGTTCCTTCTTAATATTATTAATGTTATCCTTATTGACTTTGACCATAGGAATAATGATTTTCTTGGTAGACTTAACAGCAGTGTCATTCTTGTGTTTTAATTCAGGTTCCTCCTCACTCTCGCTGCTGGTGAAATCAATACTTTTGGTAAGCCGCTTTATTGTCTTTGAAGACTGATTCGATAAACGTCTCTTTTTTCTCTTCGGCAGACGATCTACTTTATTGATGATATCATCAGTCAAAAATTCACTTTTGTCGACATCCATTAAATCTTCATTAGCAGGAGAATGATTCTCTTGTTCTCGTTGAGATTCATGTTTATTGAACTCTTCTAGAAAATCGTTAGGATCCGAGTCATCATCCTCGCTTAAATAATCACGTAATCTTTGTTGTTGATGATGTGGTTTTTCGACTTTAAGAGGCGCATGTTTAGGTTTTTCGAGTAACTCTTGTTTAGGGGGTGGAGATTTTTGATTTTCTGGAAATAGTTCATCATCTGTATGTATCTCTCCTTCTTCAGAGCTGGATGACACTTCTTGCTTATTGGAACAAGTGGCTAGATCTTCACTCTTTTCTCCTTGTTTGTCTTCGCTCTCAGAATCTGTGAATTCAAAAGTTGGTAGAGGAGATTTTCTGCCCTTAATCTTTTTGTTAGACCGGCTGTTGTCGTATTTAGAGCTCGGATGCTGTCTTTTATTGCTATTTATGCTACTAATGGTAGGTTTAGATGAAGACTGCTTTTGGTCTTTATTATAACTAGACCTTCGATCTCGGAAATCACTATCACTCTTTCGGAATTTCAAATTATAATCCCGCAATCCATTCCCATTCGATTTCGAGGGCAGCTTTGCAGAATGCAACATTGTATATTTTGATTTGAAAGGCCCAAGTTCAGATAATTCTCTAGCACCTATTTCCGGTTGTTGCTTTTTCTCCTCGTTCTTGGATTTTAATTTTGCCAGTCGCTGCTGTTTTCGCTCTTGGATCTTTGGTGTGAGAAAATCAAAGATGAATTTGCCGACAACCTTATTCTTTATATCCTTTTGAAAAACCTTGGATAATTCGCCAACGAGTATTTTAGTGGACTGCTGCAAAATCTGAGACATGTCTGTCAGTTGATGCGGCGGTGGAATAGGAGCATTGTTAAAAGATTGTTCTTCTCTTTTTTGTATATTGTCGTCATTGTTGTGTGATGACAATAATGATACCGAAATACTACTTTTGCTCTGTTTCTCTCGACTATGGTGAGATGATGAAGATGAATCGTCGAGTTTTTTGTTTTGATGGTAAAGGTTCAAGTGGATTTCACAATCAAACAACCGTTTCTTGTTATTTTCTTTAAAAAAACGACGAGCCTGGGATTCTGATGTGAAATAAACACACCATTCTTTATCATCTTGAGTTATCTAAAACCGAAAAAAAAAATCGTCAAAAAAAACACTGGAATTAATTTTCAAAAAAAATTATGCTTACTCTCTCAAAACTATAGGATCTAAAATGACGTTTTAGATCCACTATCTTCGCCTTATAATAAGGTAGACTCGAATGTGATATGGTCACTAACCAAGAAGGTTTATTGGATGTGTCGAAGCTATTGTAATGCTTCTAAAAATACGAGACAAGTTAATCAAAAACAAAAAATTTTACATATAAATAATGAGTAATCAAAACTAATTTCAAATATAAAAATATACCGGATGAGTATCCTCATTTTCACAATGCCTTTCTCTTTAGCACGTTTATTAAAAGATCCTCTTGTTCTACTGCTGCTACGACTTCCATTTCGACTAAAACTAGGTTCTGATGGATTTCGACTTCGATTGGCAGGAGGTGGCAGCGGCGGTGGGTGTTTATAGTTGCTGTCACGAGACCAATCATCATTCATCTGCGGACGTGCTGAATAATCAAGGTCTCTTCTACTTGGCGCCTGCCATCTACCATAACGATCTCTAATGTCATTACCGGATATATGCAGATCATCTTCTCGTGATATCGATCATGTCTTCCATCATCATCATAGTATGGATCAATTTCACCATCCTCTTTCTCGTCATCAGGATATGAGTAGGGCGCTTTAAAGTCATTAACTACCGGCCTTGCTAATGAGTATCGTTTATCGGTTTGTGACAGAGGTGGTGTCAGGGGTTTGAATGTATTAGGCGAAATTGGCAAGGGTGGTTTTTGTTTCCTAGAATAATTATTTGATCGTGAATACATATCATGTACAGATCTGTTATTATTATTATTATTTGATAGTGTCGGAACATTGTAATGGTAAAGCGAATTTTGATCATGTTTAGAATAAGGTTTATTGTTAAGAGGAGAGGAAGTCGAAGTATGGAATGGTTGCTCAGGCGGTCCTTTCTGTAGATAAAATCTGTTTTGCGTCAGCGGCAGACTATTAGGATATAAAGAAGGGGGTGGTCCGTTCATTCTTTGGATGGGAAGCACAGCTGAAGAGGGTTTTATGTATGGATAAGATGGAGGTGACAGTTGTGGTATTGATGGAGGTATCGGCGCGTCGCCAATCTCCATGTCATCATTATTATTATGTGAAGATGATGTAATTTCTTTTTATTTCTGTTGTGAAAATGATGTTGTGGTGGTGTTGTTGTTTGAATGTGATGTAGTATTTATTTGTGACGTAGTCAATTTTTGTTTAAGCAGTAATGCATCTACTTTTAATATTTGAAATAAAAAATACAGATTGGACTAAAAGAACTGGTTGGTATTACTCATACCATCTGGGTCAAATTCAACCACTACATTGTTACTACCAATGCGCCGTCCATTTCCTTTTTCGACAGCCCTCCGTGCAGCAGTTCTCGGATTTTCCCTTATGTAATCCTCGCCAAGCCTATAAATCCGCCAGTAATCGGATTATTCTCTAATCGTATGTCCAGATCTTGACCATATTCTAGAACATGGCCTTGATTGTGCTTTCTTTCATCACCGGTAGGTTAGAGAGGAGAATTGATGTGGGTGGTGGAGGACCGCGTGAATTTTTATCATACTATTACATAAGAGTAGGAAAAAGTTTCTTATGAGAGATTTCTATTATTCTAATTGCTATTATTTTCGTGACTAATTATAAAAAAAATAGCATATAGCTTTGTTTACATAGTTACCAGAAATTCCGTTAATTCCAGTTCCTGCTTTGACTCTTGCCTCAGTCGAGGCTTCCTCTGCGTGGTAGTCAATCTTGGATCCGTCAATATAATTGGAGATTCCTGAATGAATTCGTTCGTTATATTTTCTTATATGGTCGTGATTAAAAAAAACAGTAGACTTACATGAGGCCCTACTTGACCGTTTAAACGGTACACTTTCCTATTCCCATATTTCCCACTGTGATCCACGTGTAAACCAGGATGAAATATAACTTTAAGATTAATTCCATGCGGCGGCTCTGTATCAGTTTGATACGGTGGCCGTACAGAGGGATTTGTAGATTGTCGTGATGTTTGTTGTGGTGGTGGTTGTCCATGTGCACTCCTTGTTGCTGTTGAAGTTGAATTTGCCGTTGTTGTTTGTGATGGTGTACTAGTAGAATTAGCAGTGTTGTTGCTATTAAAGTTTTCGGTTTTATTGATGTCTTCACTAACTTTTGACTGATCAACAACAGAAATTGACGCAGACATTTTTGCTAGTTTGGCACGCGTAATGAGATGATATACTTGTGAATTATCAATAATTAATTATCGATTGATAAGTTCTTATGTTGGCGATGTATCGAATCGCTTCTGCAAGTGAACAAAGAGAATAGTAGATGGTTAGAAGAGAATTTGATATTTTGATGAAGTAAGTAACCAAAACGCGTATCGATAGAAAAGAAGAAGGATAAAACAAAGATCGTAATAGTGTATTTGCGATCTGAAGAAACCCTTTAAATAATTGACCGAGTACATCTAATCTGCTATAAATAATAAAAAAGAATAAAGCTAATTCTCGAAGAGAAACTAAAGGGTTCAATTGTTCACAGAAACAAAATAAAAATGAATCTATTGGTAAATCTATCGACTGAAAAAATCTCGAGACACGGTAAGTATATCCTTTACTCAGTTACAACCAAACACTAAAGATGGAAGAGAACGAAAGACCAACCACTAAAAGTGACTCGCATAAAAAAGAAAAAAATTTAATCTATTTAGTAGAAATAAAAGTAAACACGAAAATAACGAATCGTAACTATAAATAATAAACGAAATCAAAAAAACCAGAATACAGAGTCGTGTTCATTCTACGTACTTTTAGAAGTTTGAGAAGACAGAGTGTGCAAAAATAAGTGCAAGGTTGCTCCTTGTTAATAACTAGAAAATGAAGCAATTGATCCGTTGTTAATATTTTTCCGGTTTTGCAAGCTGAAAATTCTGAGCGCGGCAAAACCGCCAGATATATATATATTTAATAATAATACTAATAATAATAAATAAATAATAAAAATATCAGTTGGGTAGTTTAGAGTTTATGATATATTCCCACGACCAAATTGGTCTTATGACACATCGATATCGTTGCTTAGTAATGCTTATCAATGAAAATATAAATATGAATAATATGAATACAAAAATTCAATATTTATATTACTTTTACCGTAGAGCACTGACTACAGTACCCGGGCCGGGTACTATTCAAGAAATCACAAAATTTTTAAATAGTAACCCCCGGGTACTATTCATGAGGGAGGGTATTATAGCAAGGGGATAGGAGTACACAAGTTACTTATATGAAAATAAAAAACGTGACATCAAAGATTTAATTTTTTGCCAATTTACCTTCATTTTGTATGATCAAAAATGCCACACGCAAATAAAAATTTTGGATGCACTTGTATTACTGAAAAAAAAGATGGCAACGGAATGCACGTGAAAAACTCGCTATTATAACTTATCATGAGAAGCATCCAAGTCATAGTATTCATGCAATAGCTACTGCTTTTAATATTAAGCCAAAACAAGTAAGAGATTGATGTAATAAAAAGATGAATTAATACATGTTTCACCCCATATTTGATAAATCAACAAAGAAAAGTCATCAAAATATCCTGAATTAAAAGAGGATATTTACAATTGGATAAAGAAATTGCATCAAAAACAAATGGTTATAACATGATCTATAGTTCAAATCAAAGTGAAAAAAATTATCACAATAATTATAGTATATTACTTTCTATTTCAATATTACCCAAAGTCAATTTTCTAGTAAATGAATTGATAACTTCATGACTCATCACAAATTAAGTAATCATTATCAGACTATTGTAACTCAAAAGCTTCTAGATAATTAATAACTATTATAACATGAATTTTTGAGCTTTATTTTATATTAACAAATTCAGCATAATTACTCTCTTGCTTTAATTGGCAATATGAATGATTATTTGATCTTTCTAATTATATAATAATTAATAATCATGATGTTAATACTATTTCTATTCAAATTTATAATTATATAAAGTCTAATTTTATAGTTATTCTTAGTTGTATGGCAAATAGAATCAAATTATCACCTGTTATTATTTTCAAATTGATCAATATTTCATGATAAATTTTTCCTATAGAAGTTATATTTTGTGCTAATTTAGGATGAATTATTAAAAATAAAATATTATAATAAATAAAAAATATATAAAATCAATAATTATCAATATTAGTAAATTCATATTCACTTTTATTTTGAATTTATTTAAAAAATATATTATGAATTCTGTAAAATAATAGTTTTTAGAAAAAAATATATAATTTCAGATAATTTAACTACTAAATTATAATTATTAGATATTATAATTAACAAGTCTTTTTAAATTCAAAATAATTCTTATATTTAATCAATATAATTATATAATTATATTATTATGATAAATCTGATAAGTGAATTTTCACTTGAATTTATCTTAATAATATTAGATTGGAAAAGACTGAATTAAATAATAAATAAAGAAAGAAAAATCAGACTATAACTTCAAACTGACAAAGTTTTCTAAGATCTGTGCCAATATTTATGAATATTATCTTAATAAAAAGATAATTAAATAATAAAAGTAAAATATAAATCAATTAGTAAAGTCACTAGTAATCAATATAATTCAAGATTTAAGTGATTAAATAGTAAAGCTACTATTAATCAAAGAAAACTATAACTAAAGAAAATAAAACTAAGATAAATAAAAAACTAAATAACTAAAAAGATATAGCTTATTTATAGTAGAGTCTTTTACTCTCAAAAATAATAAATAAATAAAATAAATAAAATATGGCTTATTTATAATAGAGATCTTTTACTCTCAAAAATAATAAACAAATAAAACAAAAGAATATGACTTATTTATAGTAAAGATCTTCTATTCTTAATATCAAAAATCAAAAATTAATATAATATTATAATTCAAATCAAAATTAACTTTGTATAGTCAAAGAAATAAAACTGAGTAAGAGAAAAAGTATTAATATAATTAGAAAAGAAATCTTTAAAAGATTACTATTATTATAATAATAAGCTTTTTAATTATATTTTCCAAACAATTCAATTCAAAATTGTTTATTTCAAGCTGGGATAGTAGGTTCTTTTATATATTTTTCAAATACATAAATTATTATAGTATTATTAATTAATACTATTTAAATATATATATTATTATAAAGAATTATAATCTATTAATATAATATTAAAATATCAACATTCAAAATATAGATATTATAAATATTAATATTTAAAACATGAATGTGATAAATGTTAATATTTAAAACATGAATGTAATAAATATTGACATTTAAAATATGGACATTACAAATATTAATATTTTATTAATCTTCTAAATATTGACATTTTGTTAATCTTTCAAATATCAATATTTCATTATTTCACCAAAAATTAAAAAGAATCTTTAAATATATTGTTCTACTAAGTACATGAAAAATGCATGATATAAATTGAAAATGTAGATCTCAAATAAAGAGGATAAGATATTATGTATAAGATAAAAATATGATTATAAAAGATAAATATAATAAAAGAAAATATATGTAATTATATAAAAATAAAAGTAATTATATAATAATTTAGAAAAATAAAATTTCACATAATTAAAGAAAGATTATGAAATTAGAGAATTTTATATCACTATGGTAATATATGGTTCTTCAAAAAATTATTTTGAAAATTATCACGATTCCTCCACTTTTTTATGTTTTAGTAGCAATCAATACCTGGTTTGATATTAAAAATTTGGCCGCCGGCGAGTAATTGTGGTGACTAAGTGACCGCACTGTAGCATATACATGTATACATGTACATGTAGCTATTTTCGTGACACATTAATTAGGGAAGGTTAAGATTTTCTCGCATTATTCCCGGATTTTCGTAATCACGGAATTTCTCGTTGCGACAACAATAATATTGCAGTGGGCTGTACTACCAAATTAGCACTAGATATTCGTGAGAGTCATATCTTCATTTGTATTACGTATTTCACGTAGAGATTGGACTTGGACTTGGGTCAGTTTATTCTTTCTCAAGCTCTTTTTAACTCAAATTGAGCAATAATTTTTTAAACCCATATCTACAATTACCGTTATCATCACTTATCAAAGGTCACCGTGTCGCCTGACAACGGATTTTTTATTACTTACCACTATAATTGTCGGATTAATATTACTGCAACAGCAATTACAACAACGTTCCTGTTCCGGTGTTACCGCTCAAAAGTAAAATCGAACAAAAAAGAAATTGCCGAATAAATGTTCTTGGACGATAAAACCTCAACCTCACGAAAGAATTTACCCCAAGAATATACGCTACCGCCTAAAGTAATTAAAGAATATAATATCTTAAAAAGTCATACTTAAAAAGAAAATTATTTAAAGTACTAACAAAGAATTTGTCTGATATTTAGTGATCTGGTACAAGATCGAAAGCCCGAATCACGAAATCCTGAATAAACGACATCCCGAAAGAACGGCACGAAATCAGTAAGATCGAAATCCGAAAAATCGAAATCCCGAATGATCGAAATCCCGAAAGAACGACATCCCGAATGCACGAATTCCCGAATGAACAACATCCCCGAATGTACGAATTCCCACATAAATGACATCTCGTGATAATTTTAGTATTCCATGGGATACATGTACTATACTTTCGGGATTTCATTTGGGATTTCGTTTATTCGGATTCAGGATGTCGATTTTTCGGGCTAATGAACGTTCGGGATTCGGGATTCGTGATTCGGGATGTCGACCGCTACCGGATATTTAGCGTTAATACTGAAAAGCAGACGACGACAAATCTGTATTGGAAATATACGAATATTGCTAATCAAAACTGAATATCATTTCTCCTGCAACAATTAGAAAACTAGACATACCAATTAATATAAGTAATCCAAAATCAGAATACAATACAAGTGCAATTGCTGGCTGTAGAATTAGAATCCACTAGATAATGTCGAATTTATTGATTAATGACTGCTTTTGGCAAAGAATCAGCTTCAAATAAAGTATTTTTCCTCAAATCATCTTGAAGAATTATCACGACATGCCGCTTCCTTTCAATTATAAGCACACCTTTTTTAAACCTATTTCTGGATTTGTGAGTGGTGCTTAAATTCGGAAGATTTTTAATTAATAAATTATGATAAAAATAT